GTTCAAAGTATAAAGTATGCTTCTTCACACGAACAAATTGATTGAGCAGAACGAATACTGTAGGATTAGTGAATGGAATTTCTTGTAGTGCCCACAAAATAAGACTAATTAAAAACTCATTAAAAATTCATGAGGAAAATACAAAAGAAATGAATATTTAATCAATGTTTGTAAATTGGATAAAGATTTGTCCTGATTTACATAAACTTCAGCTTTGGCTTTTCTCGGCTTAGACAATGTTTATTTTTAAAATTACTTCACCAATGAACTCATAAGATGGGTCCTTTTTTAAGCCTGTATATCAGATAAAGATCGGCTGCTCACGTTTTAACTAGTACTAAAGGTCCTTAAAAACACCAGTTCGTGCAAAAAGAACAATCAACTTCAGATCATCAGTATTGCGCTATTTATTCTTCAACCCGGTGTAAGTGTTGTAGTGATGTAGTGCTAGCCTGTTCCCGCACGTTATCAACAATATAGTATTGTAATTGTTAAGCTTAACAACCCAATAAGTTATTGGGTTGTTACTGGAAAGAAAACCGCAAGCATTGCACAAAAGTTTTAGTTATAAGTGTAACTGTCTCGGGATGGAGGTGGCGGTGGGTAAATCCCGGCAGCTTTGTTCCCGGGTTAGGGTTAGGGGTTAGTGGTTAGGGCGGTGGTGGTTAGAGGTTAGGGTTAGGGTGGGGGTTAGGTGGTGGGTGGGTAAATCCCGGCAGCTTTGTTCCCGGGTTAGGGTTAGGGGTTAGTGGTTAGGGCGGTGGTGGTTAGAGGTTAGGGTTAGGGTGGGGGTTAGGGTTAACAACCCAATAACTTATTGCTAATAACGGTTAACAATTACAATACTATATTGTTGATAACGCTTAACAACCCAATAACTTATTGCTAATAACGGTTAACAATTACAATACTATATTGTTGATAACGCAAGGAGCGCCGGTGGGTGGGTAAATCCCGGCAGCTTTGTTCCCGGGTTAGGGGTTAGTGGTTAGGGCGGTGGTGGTTAGAGGTTAGGGTTAGGGTGGGGGTTAGGGTTAACAACCCAATAACTTATTGCTAATAACGGTTAACAATTACAATACTATATTGTTGATAACGCAAGGAGCGCCTGCCTGTTCGTAGCCCGAAATAATTCCGTTCAAAGGAAAGGTTGGATTGATAGGAATGCAACTACTTAAAAAATGAGAACTTCTGTCAACGGTTCGATCGAGCGAAGGCCCTTCGTCAAGTTCCGTCGCTATCAATACGAAGTTTTATTATTGCTCAAATTGCGACTCATTGCAGACCAGTGTAACAATCCATAGTTCTGTCAACGTATATAGCCATGCATAACTTTTTTAATAACTCTTTCTCGGCAAATCCCAATTACATTATTACGATTTCGTAATAGTAACGCAAGATTAAGAAGATTATATCCGATGTCTCCCTTCACATATAAAGCGGCAATACTCTATTACCGCTTTATATGTGAAGGGAGACAGTGATTTCAATCTCACCAACCTTATACCCAATATTATTTCAAATTTCTTTTACGACACTGACTAATTACAGTAATAATTTCAAAAAATCAGTCATTAACACTTGAATTGTAATTTTTATCTGTTGAAACTTAATATAGGTGCAGATGGATAACCCAAGTGAGGATAAAATACATTTATAGACCTATTACCAGGAACGATTGCGAAAAATACGACACTATATAGATCCCCTGGCAGGATTCCAGTGCAGCGCTCTCACCAACTGAGCTACATTTGTCTGAACCAGTGGTGGAAACAATCCAAACCATGGCAACATTGGTGTTATTTCCTTTCCTTATATTATTATTGGCCAGTTTCGATATCACGATTCATCCAAACACAGATTTTTGAGGCTGAATATGGTATTATTGAAATTTTGTCGATTGGACAGAAGCAACTGATACCGTAGCGTGCGCACAAGATCGTTCGATGATGTAAGATCGTTCGATGTCATGCCACTGCAAGACTCTCTCGTGACTTGTGTAAGCAAACAATGAAGGCTTTGTTGCCCATGCGCATGACTTGGACGCTTTGGACAAAATCAGTCATCATCTATTCAGACGCAAATCAAGTGCGTATATACGTAAATGGTATCGAATTAATTTTTTAATCTTAATAAAAAATATTTTCATTTTCTGCGATTAAAAAATGGCGTGATTTTGATGCCACGCACGTTAATTAATTTATAGGAAATTTTTGGTAGAAAAACTAAAAATGAGAGTTTTTGGGCAAAAACTAAAAATGAGAAGTTTTTGGTACAAAATCTAAAAATGAGAAGTTTTTGGCAAAGAACTAAAAATCAGAAGTTTTTGGTGCAAAAACTAAAAATGAGAAGTGAGTAGTCTGTCAAGGGACACTCGAGTAGTCTGTTCGAGCAGACAGAGTGACAGTGGTGTCCTAGCATTTTAAAGAGAGGGGAGTAGGGGTCATTTTGAAAGAAATGGCAGGTATATGATGCTGAAGAAGTATCACTCGCCTGGAAGCGGGATTCGAAGGCGTCTCTCTGTGTGAAGATTCTGAAATTTAACCCTCTGATATGGTATTTCCCGAACCATTTTGGAGAGTTAGGTTTCTTGAGGTTTAGTCATTTTATTCTGTAAAATTTATATTATAGAGAAGCAAAAACTTTCCCTTATAGTTTGTTTTGTAATTTTGAGAAATAACCGCGGCAATTGTCTGGGCTCTAGACGGCGAAAATCGTCAGGTGCCGACTCCTATATTGGGACCCTGAATTTTATGCATCTTTGGTTTGCACTTGATCTCTATGTTGGAGAAATACCGAACGAAAACTAAAGAGAAGCTATTGTATTTAAAGTGTTTCCCTCCAACATGGAGCCACTGTATCTTTGTGTTCTCAAGAGATTGATATTGCAACGCAGCAATTGACACTGTCAAACAGTTCTATTATTAGGATTATTTTCTGAAATAATTCCTAATGAATTAATTTGTTTCTAAAGTGGTATGCGCAGTCGACCTGAGCAAGAGACTGGGCTGTCTGTTCAGTGGTATTAGAGAACTTTTATTGAAATTTTATTTTATTTTTATTTTTTTCTTAGTAGTTCTTGTAATTTATGTGTGGGGTTTGTCTTGTTGGGACTTCGAGTCCATTCGTGATCCATATCTAATTCGCCTTTGTTTGTTGTAATGTCTTTTGCTTCGTTCTCACATATAGACTTATACTATTGTAAATTTCCTAGCGAGTTTAATAATTGTGCTTTAGCCGAGTATTTTAAAGGGAAAGAGTGCATTCTTTATCATACTGTATAGTCTAAGTCCCTTTTACATGCATGCATGTATGTTTACGCCGCGGCAAATCAAATATTAATACATGAGGTTACATAAATGTATTCCACAATAACGAGTTACAAGTGAGCTGGTTCAGGATTAATACGTCATTTCGCCTTTCGGAGTTTGCGAGGCCATCATGCGAAGTGTAGCAAAACAATGGTAAAACCATTGCCTCATCGCAAACCCCGGCCGTCGAAAAGGCATATGCATGTCATTAAGGCCGAGTTACACTACACACTTTTTGCCTAAAACTGCACGTTGTGTGCGTTGAGTTGTACTGTGTAAATCAAGCACACAACTCAACGCACACAACGTGCTAGATTTACACAGTACAACTCAAGTTGTAAGCAGGTTGCATAAAAAAATGTGTAGTGTACATCGCCCTTCATAGCCTAGGAAAGCCACAAGGGAAGTAGCCTACGGTGTAGACCCTAGCAGAAACTGCTGGGGTCTACACCGTAGGCTACAAGGGAAGGAAATAGCTCGAGATAGCGGGGTTGAGTAAGCGTGTTCGACACAGCGGGGTTGAGGGTGTAAATCTATATTACTCACGTACCTGATGAAATCTGTTCATTCATTTCGCGGGCGCTTCTGAATTCGTCTTCGGTTCAAAAGTTTCGCTCAAATACTCAAAAGTTTCACCACAAAGCTTGCATCATGCACTCCAAACAGCGCCAAACTGACTCAGCTACATAGGCCATAGGGGTCTTTCAAGATATGGAAGCCCGAAGCTACAAAATCACAGAAGATCTTTGTTTGATCATACTTCTTCAATACTTCAGATACTTGGTATAGTTATTATTAGAAACTCATTAGAATCACAATTAACTCATTTCTTTCGCAATAAACTTGAACAGAAATATACTGTAGATGATGAGTTACATTGTCTAATGAGTCTCCAAATTATTTCTTCTATTGAGGTATGGTTTAACGTTGAACGGTACCTCACAGTACAAAAATCCATGGTCTCAACTTCATTAATATTATCATCGATGTTGCACCATCTGAGCTATCCCTATTGGACGATTACCTCATTGTACTGTCATACAATGAGTTCAATCACCGTGAACGTGCAATTAAATGAATAACATGCAATCAAAGTTTTAGCTTTCGAATGACATTTTTATCATTCCAAACACAATTGTGCAATACTAGTCGATTAAAATACATTTTTCCACCTTTGGCTTTGTGTCTTGCCAAAGAAGTGACCATGTACATTTATCAACAATTATTTAAGTTTATTCCATATGTTACTAATTTAGGGCTTTTCAAATTAAAATTAATATATATATTTAATAGAGTTGGAGATTTGTAATCCAGAATTGTTCACTGGACTATAATTGAAATGTTTTGAGTTATATCGACTCGGTACTTCGACTCTTCATCTGAAAGTGTGAATGTTTGAATTTTCGCGCTGTTGTTCACGTTGTTCAAGTCTTCGGGAACGTCTGATTGGTTGACAGATTTTGGTGGATGGTTGTCATTTTTTTTTATTTTTTTTTTTAAAAAAAGCTTTATTGGACATACATATAAAAGGTTACATATTATTATACAAACAAAGAAAATTACAGGGTATACGTCCAATGGGGCTAGCGCAAACGGGACAACGAGACCCATGCAGGGCGCCACCCCTAACAGTAAACTAGTGAAAACAAACTTATTTACTATACAGAATATACATATATAACTTATTTAGGACTTAAGTACGGTGACAAGGGCAGTCTCTTATGAGCGACCAAGTACATGTCATATCTACATTAAAAGTACTGTTCACCAAGGCGGTGTATGTCTTGTGCAAAAAGCTTTTAAAAATATTTACATTGGCAAACTTTTCTGGAGAGGCTATTTTACATATATAGTTCCAAGGCTTTACTATTCTATTAAAAAACGATGCCTGAAAGGTGGATGTTTTACAGCAGGAGTGTTTTAACATTAGGGAAGCCTCACATATCGATTTTTTCCACGAGAAACGTCATATGTTCGTTTGGGGGTGGGGGGGTTGGCTGCTGTGACGTTTCTCTGTAAACATCATGGAAAAAATCGATAGTTTTTATCTTTGCAGAGTATAAAAAAGAAAACAATTTGATACAAACAGCAGTCTATATATTCGTAATACCGTTTATATTGTTACGCCTTCTTTGCATTTGAAAACACTCAAATTTCAAGAAATACGCGCTAAAATGATCAATATTTCATTCAAAAAAATGCTGTTTTGAGAAACGTTGGAAATTTTGAAGTTCACATATATATTAATACTAGGTTACCCACAGGGCAGTAATGCTGCCTTTGACAGCAAAAGACAAACTACAGGGTGTTGAACGAGTCCTTCAGAAACATCCTATTATTGTTATCCTTGTTAACCCATTTATTGACAGTACCCTACGACTGACTGAGTATTAAAAATCGTCTGGCGTTGGTCAGGGTAAATACTAAAGTAGGGGTCATTATACTGTGCTGATGGATTAACAAGAGACATTGGCAGATAGTTTTGTTAACCCATTTACTGGCAGTACTCTATACCACTGACGAGTAAAATCTTCTGGCGCTGGACAAGGGAAGGGCGCATTGCCAGCTAATGGGTTAAACCACCGTGGTTAATTTGATGCTCCAGGAAATGTAAACAAGCTATCAGTGTAACATCCCAGTTTCAGGCGACCTCGCTGCGGCAGCAACAAGAATAAGAAATATTTGTAATGAATTGGAATCATCCATAATTTATACATCAACATTTTCAAAAACGGCCAATTAGATTAGTGGAAACGTCATCCAATAAGAAGCGCGTATTTGAGAGTTAATCACTATTTAACTACAAAATAGTGATTAAAAAAGTGATCATTAAAAAGTTTTATACAACCGGCCCCTGGGGTTAAAGGGCAATGATAATGACAATGACATGCAGGTGACATTTAAGATGTGTGACTGTGCGCAATTAAAATTTGCGTGTTTAATAATGTTTATCAAAGAAGGCAAAAATATATACAAGACAACCTCACATGTGAAATCTGTTCACTTACGCACTGCCTTGTGATGCAGTACAAGTATAAATACAAATGACAAAGCATTTTTAAATCCTAAAACATAATTAAATCATACGGCACATTCAAGATTTTATTATAATATCCTATTTCAGCCGCGTTCATACTGCTTGGCGCATTCGCTGCGTTGTATTCATGGCAGATTTATTACTAATAAATCAACACTATATGATAATATATAGAACTCACAAAGTGCATAAATAAACCTTTTTAAAGCATGTCATTGTCATTGCAGACTAGAGGCAAAAACCAAAAAGCATTGTCAACCACATATTCAATGTTGAATGAAAGCATCGCGTATAATGTTAAAAGAACCGCGTATAATGCTTGAACCACTGCGTATAATTACGAAACCACCGCGTATATTAAAATGGTGAAAGCACCGCGTATAATGGTAAAAGCACCCGGCATGACGGCGAAAGCACCGCGTATGATCGGCTCCAACCACCGCGTATATTGGCGAAAGCACCGCATATAATGCCGAAACCACCGCCGTATAATGCTAAAAGCACCCAACAAAATGCCGTTTGATCACTTTAATCCAGCTATGGCTTTGGCTTTCCATTAAAGAAGACCAAAGATGAAAGATCACATTGCCTATTTGCCTTATGCCTGACCGCGCTGCCCCACGGTTAAAATTCACTGGTACCGTCATGCAATGCGCCAAATAGAAAATTTTGATTTCGACCCACAAAACAAAATTAGGATCTGCTGCCTTGCTCGCTCGCTTCAGGCTCGCTCGCTGCGGCAGCAAAAAAAAGAGTATGTCAACATAAGATGACATATTCCTCGCGGAAGCATCGCCAATAGCCGACCGAAAAAAATAGTAGAAAATTACCTTATGTGTACTATAAGAACAAAATATCGATAACTATGTGTGACGTTTCTAAGGGGGGGTGGGGGGGTCTCCAGAGAAACGAACATATGACGTTTCTCATGGACAAAATCGATATGTGAGGCTTCCCTTAGGGCTGGATTTTGTGCGCGAGATCGATTGTGCTCTACGAAGGTTAAAAGTTGATTAATGTTTAAATCAGTATGACCAAAAATACATTTATAAGCCAACACAAGATCTCTGATTTCTCGATCATAAGTTAGTGGCAATAGGTTTAGAGATTTCAGCCTGTCTTCATATGACAGCTCACCAACTTTAGTTCTTAGAATCCATCGAGTTGCCCGTCTCTGTACTCGTTCTAAGAGAATCTGCAAGTTTGCGTTTGAAGGTGACCAAACCTCAGTTGCGTAGCACAGCTGCATTGGTTGTCATGGGACGCGGTTGATTATTATCATCCATCATAAGGTGATGTTGAGAAGATGGTTGCAGGGGGTTATGAATTAGGAGTTTTGTCCGAGCGCTTTGCTTGTAAGTCTATCACAGGAATGTCAATATGACGGTTAAATGTTAGTTTATCTATACTATGCCACGCTTCTAATTAAACTTATTAAAGGGACTGGCCATTAATAATGGGAGGGGGGAGGTGGATGATAAATACCAAATATTGAGAACATTTTTTAGAGCCGCCCCAATTGCAAGACCTTTATTTTCAAGACGCCCTCTGTGACCTTCATCTAGAAAATTTATGACACCCCCGCTTCCAACATTATTTCGTTACATTTTTTGTGTAAAATAGGTAATGGGACAAGCACTCGTGTAAGACATTGTGTAGTCTAAATAATTTGAGGACCAGTATTCAAAATGAACTAAAAAGGCGAAACATTTTGTGGCCAAATACGATAAATGCGAGAGATTGAAAATGAGTAGGAAAGTATTAAAAAATTGGGGTCGCCCTTTGTCACATATTTTAAAGTTCAAGGCCGCCCCCAATTCAGACAAAAATAGTTGAAGCCCCCCCCCCCCCTTTCTCACCCACCGCCCTCTATCAATAATGACCGGTCCCTAATGAATGGAATTTGACGCTCACGCTATCCAGGTATTATTTGCGAGGTCAGTGAGTTCAAAACAAACGTGCGAAATTAAATATGGCTGCCACAATGTTGCAAATGTGTATGTGTTAAAAAGTGATAGAGAATGGCTGCATTGGACACGATCACGGATATTTCAACATTACTCGAGAGATGGAAAGAAACAGAAAGGCTGCGTCAAAGTCCTGTAGAAATATTGGAAAGGTTTGTGATTGAAAATGACAAATATGGTCCACGATCGCACGATCGCAGGCGAGATCACACCAAGATCGCACCGCAGAGTTATCAAGATTTTCCTGTTATGTTGCCAAGGTCTTGGAACATTATAAAATGAAAATTTGAACTTATTTCTCCCAAGACCTTGCCATGATAACACGAAACTCTTCTGTATCTTGGTGATAGGTAATCTAAATTTGATATTTGCTGTGTTGGTGTAATGTACTCAGGTGAATATGATGTTTGTGATGTTACTCTGAGTGTATATCCACACTGGGCAAGCTTGAAAAATATGCCTGTCCACAGTGGGAATCGAACCTACGACCTTTGGAATACTAGTCCAATGCTCTGCCAACTGAGCTACGCAGTCAGGTCGGTTCGAGTATGTGGTAATCTAGGAAATATAAAGACCAAAACCAACAAGCTTTGGCTATTTATCTAGCACAACTATTTTTTTTTCGTTCTGTCAGAATGTTAAAATGACATCAAGTAAATTTCATTAATTTGCAAGCAAATCCTTGGTAGCCGAGTGGTTAAGGCACTCGCCTTGTATGCGCTAGCTCCATGGATCCACCTACAAGCAGGCAGCCAGATCAGGTAGGGTTAGAGGTGGATATAAAGGTTCCAGTTTTGGGTTAGAGGTAGGTATAAAGGTTCCAGTTTTATTGTGTGAAACAACTGCTGACCATTTTTATATGAACCAATCAACCTAATTCACAGACAAATTGCCAAAGCTTGTTGGTTTCCATGAGTAGACAAATAATAACTTCCAATCTATTATCCAATGCATGCAGGATTGCTGATGTTGTTGAAACAGAATATGAAGTGTTTTTAAAATCAGATCCGGACCCCTTTGACGACAGACACCCAGGTATTGTAACACTTCTTAGTTGAGTCATAAATGATCCTGGTAGGATCCCGCAAGTTCACTTGTAGACATAATTTATTCAAAACCCTTTGCCTGTTTTTAGCACGTAGTGAACCAAACTGCACTTACGCTCATGTCTTGAAAAGCTTGAGTAAGAGTGAGAACCTGGTAGACGTCATATTAAACACGTATCTCATGGCCACACGCTGGGATTTCAAGTTGTGTTGTGTCGCAACTCGACTACTGTTTGATCTTATCTGTGGTCTTGAAATGGAACAAATTTATCAAGAGACGGTAAGTTACACCCTCCCCCCATTTGATAATTGCAAACCCAGTCCTTGCAATTTTAAAAAGACAAAAGTATCCATCTATGTTTTACATGAAAAAATATTACACAATATTACAATAGATGATGGAAGTAGCATTTTGTTATGTTTCAGGAAGGATTACTTCTCAGACTCTATGACTGGGCAGAAAATGGAGAAGAACCATTGAGATCTTATTCATTAGGTAACAGTACTTATAATCTCTACAGTTTATGTTTATAAGAACTTGCAGTTGAAGCTTGACAAGTGGCCTCTGTAGGTCAGTCGGCTAGGACACTGCACTGGAATTGCAGGACCACAGGTTCGATGGAGGGGGGACTTTGCCCCAGGCCCCATACAACCTCTCGGCACGGCCCTACATGTGTGCTACGAGAATGAAGAGTAAAGATTTTTTCAGGTCTTATTGGTATTGCAATGGGGATGCAAGATTTCACCTCATCACACCGAGAAAATAATTCTCATCTCGTAAGTAGAATGATGACTTTCTACCTACAGTACCTAACACTTTTGCTGTAGATTTGGACAGAAAATGAATGTGCAGTCGAAATTCAGCCGCAGTCGTGGGCAAGCAGGGCTCATCATCCCTTAATTAACATCTTTCAGGTTCCGATTGTGATAAACCGTTTAAAATCATTAAAAGATTTGCGAGACTTGAATCAGCTTGCTGTGACAGATTTCCCCAAACCAAAGGTGGCTTCGAGAAACAAGAGTAATGGCAAGTCAAACGGTGGCAATAAAAACAAGAAAGAAAGCAATTTGGATAGTTCGGCTATGGCTGAGGCATCTACTAAAGCAAGTCAAAGTGCTAACAGGAAAGGCAAGTTGAAATGAAGAACTGAATGTATTAGTTATATGCGTCACTAACTTCAAAATATTGAAATAAATTTAGATTCAAAGAAGATGAGACAGTGTTTACGGCCATCTTCATTCAAACTAAATCCTCTTACACTCAGTACACAGATCAGATTGATGTTAAGATATCTTATGCCGCTTGGAGAATATCAAGAGGTACGATTAACTTGACTGAACTCAAAAAATACTTGGAACGTTTCAATGGTTTCATTAATTATAAAAATGACTTGTGACTAGTTGGTCACCACTTCATTCATTAATAACTCAACAATGCTCTTTTTAATTATTTCTCTTTCTCTATGATTTAACATTGTCTTTATTTAACTAGTTTCTTCAGGTAGCATTTGAACTGGACGTCCGAAGTATGGTAACACATTTCATTAATGTCAAACACATTGCTGAGGATGGTGTAATATTCCAGGCTCTTCAGGTTTGACAAGACTATCTATATTACAGTGTCAGTG